AAAAAAAAGTGGAAGAAAAGACGATTGATTCGCCTACGTTTAATCTACTTTTAATAATGTCCATTTACATTAAAATTCTTAAAATAAATTATTCCTTTTATTACTTTAAATTTTGCTTTCAACCTTTTTTAAAAAATAATTCAATTTTTTAAATAATTTATAAATTTAGATATTAAAGATCACTAAAATCATTCTCCCTACTTCTTAAAACACACTTCCCTACAATATTGAAGTGACACTTCAGTGTTTGGCATTTCCTTTCAAACTGCTCATGAAATATTTAAAAAATTATCTTTTAACTTTAAAGTTGTTTATGACATGTAAATTGTTTTATAGGTTTCAATGAAATTCAAAGCTTTTAGAAGGTTTAGGAAGCGACAGTAAGTTACGAATAAAAAAGTGAGTACCTTCATCATTGATTTTGGTTATTTTATGCTATAATTGCACAAAATTTCATAAACCGTGTTATAATATTCACGGTAATTTGGACATTTTATAAAAACAAACTAATTTTATTTTGCTTTACGTTTAATTACTATAATAATATATTTGTGTATTTTAAATATTTTTGTGTAAGTTTTAATTAATAAGAAAATACCAATTACTGTTTTACAAAAAATTTTAATAAATGAGCGAAATATGAGCATTTAAAGTTACCCTTTGATACTCTTCACGCACGGAAAACATTTATATATTAATTTTTCGGAATGCAAAAGAGACTATCAACGAATAATTGAAATTTTCGCGGAGTCAAAATGGAGGTATACACTAATTCAGAGAAGAAAATTATTGAAAGTTACTTACAATTTACGTGTAATAATATTCTTCTGCTAACAGACGGTGGTACCCCATTAGAAGCAATGCAGAGATAGGCACCCATGTGCAATCTACTTACACGGCTAATATTTAATTGATTTCCATCAAAGCTGGTAGCTGTAAAAAAAAATGAAATTTGTCAAAAACATTTTTATCAAACCATAATCCTATTCTATTTGTAAAGATTTTATACAGGAATTGATGTTTTTTCATTTACACTTTTGTTATTTCACTAAGTTATTAATTTTGTCGCTAAATATTAAATTATGAAAATAAATATTACCATTTAATAGTTTATAAATAAAATAACTTTAGATTTATCATCTGCATTTTAACTGCTTATAGAAGTATTTTTTTCCAAGTGCATATTTAAGAAAAAATAATACTTTGTTATGTTATTGAAGTTTAATTATAATGTATAATATAAGTATTTATAAACTAATTAATTTAATTACAATTTAGTTATTAAGTTTCATTACAAAATTTACCAAGCAATTTTTTTCCATGCCACATTCCTAAAGGTATCGGCTGATTATCCTCTCTCCTCCATGATATGTTTGGACTTGGATATCCTTTTGCTTTACAAAGAAGTGAAACATTTGTTCCTTCTCTTGCTGTTATATCTGTGCTGCTTTCATTCATAATTATATCAGGAGGCACTTAAATAAGATAGAAAACAAAATTTAGGTAAATTTAACTAATAATAAAAAAATACATAAAAATTCAAACTAATATAATAAAAAAAACAGAGTCATAAGGAAGAAAAAAGACACCTATGTTTGTAATAAAAAAAACGAAAAACAAATTCACTGTGAAAATTACAGTAAATTCCACAAAAGAAAAGTATATTTTTTACAGAAAAAAATGCTTAAGATAAACACAGGTTTTTTTTTTTGTTTTTAACCGTTATTCAAGCACTGTAAGAAACTCCCGGTCTTTTTACAGACTTTCTCTGTATATTTGACGGTTTAAAGCTGTTACGTTGACAAAACGGTTTTACTCTGTTCTTCATCCTAATCATAAACAGGTAAAATCCATCAGTTTCATTTTCAAGTTTTTGTCATGCAGATTTGCTTTGCTTACGATACTTCTACATTTCTATCTACATTTTTAAATCCTTTTAAGATTATTTTCTTTATATTCTCTTGTTTTCAGTAACTATTTTGTTTTTTTTTCAACAAGTAAAGCTGCTAAAGTTTTACTTGTTAAAACTGGTAAAGTTTTAAGTAAAACTGCGATTTATTGCCAAATTGGTACTCTGGTCATTATATTTCTTCAGATAATTTTTTTTTGTTGTCAAACATTTTTATACGGGTGGACTACTATGTTTTTAAACGTTTTTATACTTAAATACTATTTTAATAACTAAGACTTTTGAAATAATCAGTCTAAGATTTTTCTTTTCCCTGAGTCATTAGAGCTTTAGTAGATCAGGGGACAGAGCGTTTACTTCAAATCTAGGTGACTCAGGTTCAAATCCTTGTGCTGATTAGTCTGAAGAAGTGAATGTGGCTCCCACCGATCACAATGCATAGTTATTTCATAGTGTTTTGTTTCTTAAAGTAACAAAGTCTGTTTCTCAAAATCTGTATTTTTTTCTGTGAAATAAAAGGTTTTACACTGGCACAACAACTGACTGTTTCCTTTCTTAAATTAAAAACTTTTTTTTACTGTGTAGGTGTAAAAAGTTTTATATTCTCAAATATGTTTTAAGCTAGTTCCATCTATATGTTGTAAAATTTCATTTATAACTTAAGCGTTGAACCTTATAAATAAGAAGAAGGCCAACTTATTTTACTGTTGTAGACAGTAAATAAGTAGTTGAAAATTTAAAACCGGATAGAACAAAAAAATAAAGACTGGCAATAAAAGAATAAAAATACTTGAGTTTATGATACAAATACAATAGGTAGTTATTTTAAAATATATTTTTAAAATATTTATAAAATAAAAACAGATAAACATGTAAAGTTTTAAACAGATAAAGTATCTAGGCAAATACTTGCGGAAAAATACGCTTTTTCACCTAATACAAGTCTTAAGGGTGAATTTTAAGCTCATTCCTAGTGAAATGTTGTAAAATAAAAGTTAATCACAGCTCCAAAGTGTGTCAAAAGCTGGAAATAAATTTAGAAGCGTTAATTTTGTATTAATTAGTCTATTATAGATACTTTTTAGGACAGATATAAGCAAGGATCGCGAGTAAAACTCTGATTTCTTTCGCTATTCTGTTTTATCCCAATTTTCTATGGTAGAATTATTTATTAGCAACAGTTTTTCAATCAGTTTTCCAAAATTTTTCATGTTATAAATGTCAACAAGATTTTCAAGGTCCACTTGTGGTATGAGAATCGGTGGTATACAGTAAAAAAAAATACCGTATCAAATTAAGATAAAAAATATCAGCTCACAAGATGCCGATACTATAAAATCCATTTTTACCGGAACATGTAGCGAAACAAAAAATCAGACAAACCGTAATTTTTACAGTAAAATCACTGAAGCTATCTAATTAAATAAAAATTATTGCAAATTTACGATATAATATTTTACGGTAAAAGTGGATTTTACAGATGATGCGGCGAAGTTGTCGATACTTTATATCGTAATTTTATCTATAATTCTTTGCAGAGTAGAGAAAACCATAGATAGATTAAAAATTATCAGTGAAAAATCAAAAATGATAAATTAATCTCTTGCATAACAATAATTTTACGTAATTAATTGTTTGACAGATATCTTAAATTTATTCAATACTTCTCCTGAATGTCTTGAAATGAATTATTGATAGTTAAAAAAGTACTTCCCTTTTTCTTAACAATTTATTCCTTTATAAACAAAAAATATTTTAAAAATTAATATAAGACTTTCTCTTTTAAAATTGATACACTTTTAACGTGAATATTGCGATAAAATAAATTAAATCAGAATCAAATAGTGCATATATACTTGAAGCTTGTGTTGCAAAAATTAATCTTCTTTGCAATAATAATGTTACATAATTAATTTTTTACATGTATCTTATTTACTTTCTATGTTTCATGTGAGTGCCTTAAAATAAAATATTAATTGTTAAAAAACAGTACCTTATTTTTCCGTAACAATTTATACTTTATAAACAACATTTTATACATTAATATAAACTTTTCTACTAATAAAAATACATTCTTAGTATGAATAGTGCGATAAAATAAAATTGATTCAAGTTTAAGAGTGCACATAATCTTTAAGCTTGTATTACAAAAAAAAGTAAATAAATAAAAAAAATAAAAAAGTAATAGCAAGATAAAGCAAACTTTTCCTAATTAGTTTGGATTAATATAGCCTCGATAAAGTGTATCTAACGAAGACTTCTTTGTTTCGAAAGAAAGATAGCTGCTACTTAAAATCACCTGTAAAAAAAATCTTCTGTCCTTATTATGCAATGAAATTTATCATTAATCCTCCTTTTAATGTCTTTAACTGTATTTTAATGCGCATCGGTTTTCTTTTATATCCTGTTAAATCTTGTTTCTCTTGAAACTTAATCAATGAATCTCTTAAATTGCATCATTTATTTCTGATAAATTATTTTTTTTTTCAAATCTAAAATAGGAGAAAGGCAACAATCAATACATTAAGCTGCATCGGATATTATCGATATAAAGGCAAGTGTTTCAGACAATGATGGACATTTGTAGCCTTTTGCCATTTTTATCGGCATCTATCATCGGATATCTGCTTTAACGGCTTTCCGATTTTTTATTGGAAAACGAGATTTTTGTCATGTTTTTATACATTTTGAAAGAAGTGATATATCAATAACTAAACTGATTATACAAAATAGTCGTAAAGAAAAGCTCTTTTGTGTGAAATTTAAAAGCGAATGTTTTTGCATAAAAGAGTTTTTGAAACAATATTTTTTGAAAAGAATATTCTTTAGAACAAAACGAATGTTATGTGTACGTAATATTAACGTTCTAATTGAAAAGTACTTACTGCTATAAAGCTCTTGATATAATATAATGTACACAATTTCTTTATTTGTATTATCCTCACTATTTTAACAGTAGTTTAAAAAAACAATGTTTTTAAAGGAAAAAACGTTTTTCGTAGTTTCCGAACTACTTTATAAGTTGTTATATAAAAAATATAATTATAACACTTTCATTTTTTTCTCGTCCTAGATCATGCAAAAAATGCGAAAACCGCAATGGCTTGAATTTTTAAAAATTTTTCAGTTATAAAATATTTTATTCTCTTTATGTTTCATCCAATATAAACTTATGACATTTTTAAATTAAAAAACTAATCACACTGTTAAAGTTTTAAAAAAATATTAAGCCTTGAAAATCAATAATTAAAGTTGACTTGAAAAAGAAGTTCCAAAAAAACTACGAAGAAAATAAATGCTAGGTTTCAAATTAAAGCCTTTACTTTAGTTAAATAGGATTTGACTTGAAGATATAAAATATTAAAATAGAAATATCAGTTAAGAAATTGATTTGTACTATTATCACATAAGGAAAAATTAAAAGCATTTAAATGTTTTTCTTCCAGTAAAATCATACAAAAGAAGTCTGATCATTCTGGCTATTAGAAGACAGTAGTATTAAAACAGGAAATTATTTCGTGTACTGTGAAGATATAAGATAAAATATATCAGTATTACTTTAGGTAAGGGATCCGTATTAATTTAGACAAGGATGAAAGTTAGCAAATCTTAAGGTAATATTTCTTCAGAAACTTGGTGGATTCAAACTACATATTCGCCCTTCGTATATAAAAAATATCTAACTCAAACACAGTGTTAGAATTTTCATTCTTATAGTAAAATTTTAATATCAGATGAAATATGTTGAAAAATGTTCACGAAGTCATAGGGATGGATTGAAGAGGAAGTTAACATTGACATTAAGCATGACTACTTTTCCATTTTTTAAAAGTCAAATGCACAAAAAGATTTTTATAAAAGTAGCATGAAATTGAATTCCCTCTTCATATTACTTCAAATATTTCAAATAATAGAATCTAAAATATAGAATAAAATTTTTATATCGTTTGTAAAATTTACATTGTTTTTAAAATATTCTAACATAGCTCTTAACTATAACTTTAAAAGATTCAATAAGGCATAAAACAAGCTTAATTCAGCTTATACCAGTATAGTTTAGTGCTAATTGCATATTTTCCATACAAATCATAATGGCAAAAATAGAAGGAAAATGGGAACAAATGATCACACAGTTAGACCCAGGATTCGGACTAGGGAAACTAACATAACCTGCAGAGTAAGATTTTAAAATCAGATAAAATATGTGTGAAAACTGGTCATGACGTCATAGGGACGGATTGAAAAGGAAGCTAGCATAGGAATTAAGCATGGCATAATGAAACTTGAGTAAAATCTACACTCAGTGGTGCGAAAGCCCATAGAGGGCCAAGGCCTAATGTGCCCATCTCAGTTTTCTTGATCCTTGGGCTCTGGGTTACAAGAGCAGATGTTCCAGTTGGGTGGTATGCCCAAAGCGGAACTGCCAGTGTTCTTAAGCATGCTTGATACTCATTTTATCGCCCCACTGAAGAGATGAAAGGCTGAGTGAGCCGTTCCCGGCCCCTGGATCGAACCAAAGACCTGTGGACGCCAGCACAAAAAACTATAGCTCAGCCACAGAGCGTT